ACCATTATTTCAGAGCTATAATTTGCTATTTAATCTACAGAGATTTAAAATACTTCACATGCAAAATTTCAGCTCAATCAAACATCTGGAAGTGGGCCAGGGGCATTACTTATTGAACGCCCCTCATATTTAGGTAAGGGTATAATGAATCATGGCCGCCAAAAAAGATCTTTGGGTACATATTATATTAATTTTGTTTCCAGATGAAAAAATGAACATAAAACTTAAACTGAAAAAAAAAAGTTTTCCTTCTTGTGTATTCCACCTTTTTACCTTTTATTTCTGCTCTCTTTGGTATCTTGGCCTTCTTCTCTACTAATGGACAGGGCTCATCAGCCAAAGATGTGTTTTTTATGACTCGGCTCCATCTTACAGCAGGGGGGCAGAAAACCATAAACTGCTAATGCTTCTCACTAATGGTTATACATGTTATGAAAAGGTAGACATGCTGGTGCTTTAGGAATCCAACGTCCCATTTAGACAGTAAACAAATGTATGTGGTTAATAAACAAATTCAGCAGGAGGTTAAAGTTATTTTATTGTAAAATTTCCTTCGATATTTTCTTTGGCAAAAGGAACTTGTACTTGATGCTGCCATCTTTTCAGAAATAAGAGATATTGTTAGGATATCTGAAAACATTAAAGTAGTATAATCCGTATAGCAGCACAGAGATAAAACCTGTTTTAGACACGGTGAATTAGGCATCAGAGCCGCTGGATGAAGGTCATCAGCAGCAGAAAGTAAAAAATGATTACAGCTCTTCTAAAACAGTACATCTGTTTGTGGTTATTAGGTTGAAAGTTTTACTATTTCAAAAGCAGATTAGTGGGAGTCCAGCTCTGAAGGATGTACTGTAGCCTTTAAGCCACTGGCTTTAACTCAACTGCAGCCAACTCTGAAAGCACCTCACTTTGTGGAGTGTGACTGCTGCAGGTGAAAGGACACATTTAAGATAAGTAACTGGGTTGTTATTTGTAAATTAGCAGCATTGACCTGTAAAAGCTACTCAAGTTACAGCCGAACAATTTTAATATGCTTATTAATAAGTACGTTCACATATTTATACAAACATTTTCATCCACAAAATCTGATAAAAAAAAAACATCTAAAAGAATGAATATCAGTTCTTTAGCTCTATATAAAACTGGAACCCATCAATAACTGTCTAATTTAGTGTTTCACTTAAAGATTGACCTCATTATTCATCATTTCAGCCTTGAGGGGAACTGAGATTGAGATGCCAGGAACAGCAGTCCTTCTTTTAGTCACTATGCTTACAGATAATCCTGCTGGTCTTCTTGATTGTGGAGTAACAACATAAAAAGTACAATACCCTGAAATGACCAGAGTGCACAACCACCACCTAGTGGCACAAATGATTTTCACATACAAAACTAGAAAGGAAAAATATTTTCAACACAAGGATGAGAGTCCAGCATCCTTTTCAGCAGAAAAATGCCACTTTTTATCCCACTGCTATACAATGAAAATTGTTGAGCCACAAAAAATAGGTTTTAGAAGAAAGTATTGATTTTCCATTAGATATTTTAAAAGCAACACCGGCGTCCCCACATCTGTAAAAGGATAAAGCAGGTAAAGAAAATGGATTGACAGGTGGATCCAGCTTTCGTATAGAATGTGTGAACCATTTCCATACGTATGGTAAACAAAGATATTTGGCCCAATTCAAAATATAAAGCACAGCTTTTTAAAAGCCTAACCCTCAGCTCAATACAGATTCAGCATAAAACATATAGTAGAACTGCTTTAAAAACATTGTTTCTGCCAATAGAGCCACAGTAAAGGAACCAAAGAACCACGTTGCTTCAGGGGTGCAGGTGGCGTACCCCTGATCTAGACAGGGACATTTACTAAGTGTCTAAATTAATTCTGATAGTTCTCCTCCACAGCTTTCAAAGTTTTCTCTTGATCTTGCATGTGTTCTTTTGCCACTTCAACTGACGAGCAAGCAAACATTTACATGTGATTTTTATAGAAAATGTTTTAGGTGACGATATACTGTAAGACATTTTCAACACAAACTACAGTTAACAGTATTGAGTATAGTTTATATATTTTATGTACAGCATTTCCCAAGATTTAAAAAGAGAGAGAAACATTATACCGGGTCTCTGCAATGAGAGGGGCAGTGGTTGTCAGCTGGTCACTGCTGGCAAAGACACCTGAATCCTTTAGCAAACAGTACCCTCTGCTGGAAAATGGATCAAAAGCTGCCGCAGAAGAATTAAGAAATTCTTCAGAGTTTTAACATGAATTCATTTCAAAAAGCAGAGATAGATTCATCAACAGCACAGCGCCAATTCTGTCTTTCTTTAGGATCATTTTGATTATTGATTGAAACTAATTTCTGTTTTTCTGCTCATGCTATATCCAGCGCTGATCACTTTAATCATCTGGAATAAAGCTAAAGCACAAAGTGTCATTGCTTGAGAAGATGGGTGGTCACAGAGACCTGTATCAAGGCACCTATATGAGAAGCTAAGGAAAAAGAAAAAGCTAAAGGAGCAACAAGAATAATCGCTTTTCTTCTGTTTTGCCCCCTCTTAAAACCAAGTCAACATCAAAGAATCTCATCTGGAACACAATCGGATATAAATATATAAAAAACATTTCTAGTGGAAATGAATGCCCATTCTGGAATGAGAGAATTCAGACATTTCAGGTCCAACAGGATGTTTCAAGTCAGTAATGTTTTAATAAGGCCTGCAGAGTTTTTTTTCAGGTCCAGGATCAGAACGCCATATAAGGTTTTAGAGCATGGATTTCCAAAGCTGGGGTCACGACCCCGTTTGCGGTCCATGTGGTCTTGAGATCCAATTCAGAAATGTAACTTAAAAGTGGAAATGCTGAAAGAACTTAAAAACATCACGAAAAGAATAAACAAAACCAAACACTTTGGTTATCGATGCTGTTTGTAGTAATATTATACTGTTAATAGATTTTGTAGAAATGTTTGGATCATTGTACCATTTTGGAAGTCAGAAACTGAAAAGTCTGGACTTATTTCATGTAAATGCAAGACCAATTTTAGAGAATTTTAGAGTGTAAGTCAAAGATAACACGAGCCATCTTGATAAATGCAACATATTAAGAGCTCTAGATGATAGATTTCTATCTACCGTGTATGCATGTATCCTTTAAAAAAAACTTTTAACATATATGCTTTTCAATTATATTCCAATCCTCTAAATAGCCAGCTGCAGATGAAGCAGCAAGAAAGGTAATTTAGATATGGCCCAATACCATATTCCTTTTAATCCAGTACAAGTACTAACTGTTGGGACTTGCTGATACCAAGAATCAATAGAAGTCCTAGAAGAAAAGCTTTGCCAAAGTGAAAAAGCTTTGGTCTCATTCCCTAAAACGGCAAGTTGACAAAGTCAGACTTATCTTATGACTTGGTAAATGTGTCAGAGTTTTTCAAATGTGTCCTATTTGCGGATGATACCCCTTTTTTTTGTCAAGGTACAGATATAGAATGGATGTTAGAAAAAATGCAAACAGAATTTATGCAAATACAAAAATGGTTTAAACTTAATAAATTATCTTTAAATTTGGATAAAACAAATAGGTTATTTACAAGGAGACAAAGAACTGTTAATATTCCATTTAAAGTTGATGGTGTAGAGATTTGTAGAGTTAGTGAGGTGAAGTTCTTGGGTGTGATTACTGACGAGAGATTAACATGGAAATCCCACTTGAATTATTTAAGAACAAAAATAGCCAAATCAAATGCAGTGCTTTATAAAGTAAGGGATTTTCTGAACGATCATGCACTGTATATGTTGTATAATGTATTAATTGTTCCACACTTGGTCTATTGTGTTGAGGTATGGGGAAAGGCATGTTATACTAGTACAAAATCGGTTTTTGTTTTGCAAAAAAGGGCTATAAGAGTTATTACTCGAAAACATGGCAAATACCCATCCAATATATTGTTTTGTAAATTGAGGTTATTAAAATTCTATGATTTAGTTGATTATAATATTTTGTTAGTTATGTATAAGGCACACCTAAATACATTACCCTCAAACATCCAAAAAATCTTTGCAAAGAGAGAGAGCAGTTATAACCTTAAGGGGACACAGATTTTTAAGAAACCCAAATTCAGAACCAGTTTGAAAGAACGATGTACCTCGATACAAGGAGTCAAACTGTGGAACGAACTACAAAATGATGTTAAAAATGCCAAATCACTGCACATGTTTAAGAGAATGTTAAAGACTGGATTCTTGAAGAAGTATGTAATAGTATAAAGTGAGCTCATACTATCGTTGTTTAGTTGAGATTGACGACTGACTTTGTTTTTGTTGCAGAAGATAACCATTTTTTTCCCTGTTTAGTTTCAGAGCTGAGAAAAAAAGGGGCAGATATAAGATTTTTTTCTTCTTTCTGCTGCCTTTCATTTCATTTTGTTTTAAAATTTTGAAATACATATGTAGTATGTCTGTAATGTATGTAATGTATACAGATGGATATGTAGGTATGTATGGATGGAGGTGTATTTTTTATTTTTTAGTATATCAAAAATTTGATAGGCTGTTTTTTTTTTATTCAATGAAATGAATGAATAAATAAATATCAAAAAAATATCTTGGATCCAGTACAGCTTAGTTGCAGTAGAGAAGGTTTTTTTGACCAATATGGAAGGGTCTATTGGCAGCTGCAGCGAGGTTAAACCTCATCGTTTTCATCTTTGTCAATTATAGAAGTGGTTTCTGTTCAGAGTATCAGGCTGCTTTTATTAGTACTTAACACAGGTATCGGCCCGATACAGAAACCAGTATCGATACTGGTGCATCCCTACTGGATATAGATCAAAGTTAGACATTTACATTTTCTGGACAATATGACATTTAACAGAAAATACAACAGATTTCCTTTTTGGAATAAACATGTTGGCGACTGTGGATAATTTACCGTGAATCTGTTTCCAATAGGACGCGATCTCTAGATTCCCCAAATAACAGAAATAAGATTTATTTCATAAAAGTCTTTATTCATAAACTTGATGCAAGTTTACAAATTGTTGTTTTTACATTGTCAAAATCACCCTTGCAATAGGAAAAAAAAAAAGAAAAAGAAACCAAAGCATGCTTACAGTGCATAACTTTATAACCCGGCCACCGCTGTTAATGATGCAAGGTAAAGAGCTCAATATCAGGCTCGTTCAGGCCTCAGATCAATGCATCCGAGACGCCCTTGTTAGTCATAAATGTGTTGGCTTAAGAGAAGCTGCTCTTCACAAATACTCCCAAAAAAAAAAAAAAAAAATCAACCTCATGTACGTCTTTCACATAAATCTCAGATGCTGTTATTCACTGGAATCAACCTGGCATCTAAATGATAAAGGCAGGCCGAGGATGAAAGATAACCAGCCCACACGTCTCTGTATCTCACTTCTGCACTGATGCAGTGGGGAAACCACAACTAATTATATCTCTAGTCCTTTATAACCACCCCAAACAACCACTTTGTTTCCCACAATATGAGAGGGAGGGGGGGGAGGTTATACCAACTACTATACTGACATGCAAAAAAACAGCAATATCAAAGGGAAAGGGCAGCAGTTTTCTGAACCTTTCGACAAGCCCAGGATGGGAGTAATGTCTGCTTCAAACGTCTGATCTTTCTGAACAATTCATTAGCAATCTTTAGTCTTGATAATGTGTGGAATGCAGCGAGAAAAACTCTTTACAAGGTCTAAAAGGTAAAACTCGGGTGTAGTTTAACAAAAACAGGGAGGGAGAAAAAAACATTCAATCTGGCCATCAGACACGGCCGGGACCAATCTTAAGCAAAGTTGAGTGTGCAGTATGAATTCCTGAGTTTGCTCGTCCAGAAAATGCAAAGGGTGGGGCTAAACAGTGTGAGCAGAATGGGATGAATAATACGTTACAAACACGTCACAACAGCTAACAATCATGCCTATGGTCTGGTAGTTTGCTTTATCTAAAAACCAATGTTGCAGGAAAGCAAATGCCAGATGAGCAGAACATGAACAAACTTTATCTAAACCAATCTGGTTAGCCGTCACTCTGGAACACCCCCCCAAAGAAGAAAAATTTAATTCAGAAATGAGGATTCACTGCAGGAAATTGTCAAACTAAGCCTTCTACGCTGGTTATCAGGATGATTTAGTTAAAAGAAAAAAATGCACATAATCACAGAACAACTAGGAAAACATGTCACTGCATTAACTGGAATGCTCCACAGTTTTCTGCATATTACATCAAAGCCTCAGCACGCTGAGAGTGGTCATGAATATCAAACTAGGGAAGTGGTAATGGGACGAGCTCGAGTTCATTTTGTTGTTGTTTTTTTTTCCTGTGGCAAAGCACGACACATCTTTATTAAACCTGAACAGATATTGTGGAAACAGAACAGACCCCAGGGTGATCATTCTGGGCGTGAAAATATTAAAACGGAGAAGAGTATTGCTGTGAATCTGCAACTTTGGCTGCATTTTACAGCAGCACTGAGGTCAAAGAAAAGTCAGGAGGTAAAGGTTGCTTTCACCTCAGCCAGCTTTTAAAGTGTGATGTAAATAAAAAGTGAACCAGCTTTAAGAACTTGGAAGGTGACAACAAGTCTGTTCTAAATGTATTAAGTTAAATAAATGGTGCGTGTGTCTGAAAATGTGTCCCCTCCGCTGCATAGCAAGAGTGAGGTTCAGTTTGTCGGAGTGATCTGAGTGGATAAACCTCTGGTATGCTACCGACAAAAGATGAGGTTACCCAAAAATAAGATCTGGATTTTAAATCTAAAATACCTACAGTACTCATTCGGCTTTTAGAGGGACCTGGTTCACTTCCTTCAGATACTTCAGAGGTATCCGTTTTTTTCCCTCTTTTAGGTTATTTTCAAGAGGTTGTAAGGGCCCTGAAAGTTATGGTCAAAGAATTCAGTAATACAGTCTCTGCTCAGCCAAAGACCTACACAAGGTTACATTATAAACATTTAAATCCTTTAGCAGAAATACAAATTTACATGTTTACAGTGGAGTTAAAATCGATGTTGTTACAGTGTGAAGTGATCCAAACAAGCCTCATCCTCTTCCAGCTGCTGGTTGCGATTATGTTGGTGGGTTTCTCCACATCTGAAAAAAAGCCAGCAGCTAGTTGATCCTCATAACAGCCTGTTCCACAAAACCTTGCAGTAGTCCGTGTATATTCCTGCCCTTACCAAGGGCTTTAAGCTTTAGGCATGAGGGGAAAATGCAAACTAGCCTTAGAAGAAGCGTTCTGGTTTTTTTTTTTTTCCCTCCAAAACTGAAGGTCATTAAAAAGATGAGCGCAATATTAGGGCGGGCGGTAATTCGTGGAAGTCAGAGGCAAAGTTTCCCTACCACCAGCATTTTCAAGGTCCTTCCAAGCCATCACTCCATCTTATTAGGAAATGATGCATGCCAGTCTGACATCCAGTTTAAGGTCAGAGAGATAGGGTGTGGCAACTGGAGCGTCAGTGTGCCACGAGTGGAAGAAAAGCCATGCCACACCTTTTACACTCAAAGCCGGAGTAACCTGGGCACGCCTCAGAGCCAAACGCGAGGGCAAGTTTGCACAATTTAGTCTGCCAGTTTGATGGGACTTGGAATACAAACATTAGATCGCAGAGATTTAGTTAGAGATGAGTATCTGAAGAAAGGAGGTCAATGCCAGCAACGGTGGTGTCCCAACTTCAGGTGGTGGTGAAGGTATCCGTAGCTATGTGCCTTTTTTTTTGGCTAGAAATTAAAATAGGAATTTGGTTTCAAATGTAAACTGTCAATGAGAGAGAATAATATTACTAGAAGGATAAAAACAATATTGGTCGCAAAGTAAAATAATCTAAGACATGTGGTCCCAATGCAGGAAAGGCAACAGTCTCTATTAGCCATCCTCCTTCGGGGGTGTGTACCAGCCTAGAAAAAACAAACAGCAAGATTAAGAAAAAAACTATAATCATCAAAACGTACACTTTACATTGTTTTATGATTTTAAAGTTTAGATTTGGTTCAAATAAAATGTTCGTAAAAACTCCTTTGACCATTCTTACTGGTAAGAACTAAACCCTTATATTGTCTATATACAGTTGTAAAGGTCAGCATGGTGCCTCTGAATATATAACGAATACTCGCCTTTAACCATCAAAACAAAAATAATTAATTTTAAAAAAAGGAGGTTTTTCCGTTTCCTCCCAAAGTCAGAAAGCTCTAACATCAATGGAGACTCAATGGGCTTATAGTCCGTTTCTGTATCCACAGATCGTCTTCATATAGTCATGGAAGATGTATATATGGATAAAATCAAACAACACGACATGAACTAACAATGTGCCTCAAATGTATTTATACATTTTAAAGTTGCAAGGAAACGGACGTTCCAACCGTGCAGTTAGGAATCCGCCCGAGTGGTGCACGACTTTACACAAAAAGTTACACATAAAGTGAATGTGATTTGTCGTTTATCAAGAGGGCGGGATTGTTGTGACGGAACGTTCGCAAGCAAGTTTGACTGTAGCCGGTGTCTCAGAAGCATCTTGCTAACCAGTTAGCAACCAAGTAGCACTTAATTGTTGACTTAGAAATGATACTCTCAAGGAACGCTATGGACAGCTGAAAGATGCAAGAAGAGGACAGTAGAGGTCGTAGAAGAGTCTCCTCCTTCATACATTTTTTATTTAGAGGAGGAAAACGGGGACGAAGATGTTGTGGAAGAGGACGCCAGGGCGGCAGAAGCTTGTTTTGGTGTAGAAGGCTTCCAGCCGTACATGTTTGAGCGCTTGCCTCGCAACGCTGCCAGTTCTGTTAGCTCTACGCCTGCTGAAGACACAGACGTCCATCCCTGTGAACACTGGGACGGAACTCAATTGGAAAGAAAAGGATTCTTATTTCTTACTTCAAAGATTGCGTATATTAGCTGCGACATATGAATCAAGATGCTGTGGCCGAAAAAATGTGATTAACAGATGACCGTTGATATACAGGTGCTGGTCATAAAATTAGAATATCATGAAAAAGTAGATTGATTTCAGTAATTCCATTTAAAAAGTGAAACTTGTATATTATATTCATACATTACATACAAACTCATATATTTCAGATGTTTATTTTGTTTAATTTTGATGATTACAAATGACAACAAATGAAAATCTCAAATTCATCATATCAGAAAATTAGAATATTGTGAAAAGGTTCAAAATTGATGGCCCCTGGTGCCACACTCTAATCAGCTAATTAACTCAAACCACCTGCAAAAGCCTTTAAATGGTCTTTCAGTCTAGTTCTATAGGCTACACAATCATGGGGAAGACTGCTGACTTGACAGTTGTCCAAAAGACGACCATCGACACCTTGCACAAGGAGGGCAAGACACAAAAGGTCATCGCTAAAGAGGCTGGCTGTTCACAGAGCTCAGTGTCCAAGCACATTAATAGAGAGGCGAAGGGAAGGAAAAGATGTGGTCGAAAAAAGTGTACAAGCAAGAGAGATAACCGCACCCTGGAGAGGATTGTGAAACAAAACCCATTCAAAAATGTGGGGGAGATTCACAAAGAGTGGACTGCAGCTGGAGTGAGTGCTTCAAGAACCACCACACACAGACGTATGAAAGACATGGGTTTCTGCTGTCGCATTCCTTGTGTCAAGCCACTCTTGAACCACAGACAGCGTCAGAAGCGTCTTGCCTGGGCTAAAGAGAAACAGGACTGGACTGCTGGTGAGTGGTCCAAAGTCATGTTCTCTGATGAAAGTAAATTTTGCATTTCCTTTGGAAATCAAGGTCCCAGAGTCTGGAGGAAAAGAAGAGAGGCACTTCATCCACGTTGCTTGAAGTCCAGTGTAAAGTTTCCACAGTCAGTGATGTTTGGGGTGCCATGTCATCTGCTGGTGTTGGTCCATTGTGTTTTCTGAGGTCCAGGGTCAACGCAGCCACATACCAGGAAGTTTTAGAGCACTTCATGCTTCCTGCAGCTGACCAACTTTTTGGAGATGCAGATTTCATTTTCCAACAGGACTTGGCACCTGCACACAGTGCCAAAGCTACCAGTACCTGGTTGAAGGACCATGGTATCCCTGTTCTTAATTGGCCAGCAAACTCTCCTGACCTTAACCCCATAGAAAATCTATGGGGTATTGTGAAGAAGAAGATGCAATACACCAGACCCAACAATTCAGAAGAGCTAAAAGCCACTATTAGAGCAACCTGGGCTATCATAACACCTGAGCAGTGCCACAGACTGATCGACTCCATGCCACGCCGCATTGCTGCAGTAATACAGGCCAAAGGAGGCCCAACTAAATACTGAGTGCTGTACATGCTCATACTTTTCATGTTCATACTTTTCAGTTGGCCAACATTTCTATAAATCCTTTGTTTTTATTGGTCTTCAGTAATATTCTAATTTTCTGATATGATGAATTTGAGATTTTCATTTGTTGTCATTTGTAATCATCAAAATTAAACAAAATAAACATCTGAAATATATGAGTTTGTATGTAATGTATGAATATAATATACATGTTTCACTTTTTAAATGGAATTACTGAAATCAATCTACTTTTTCATGATATTCTAATTTTATGACCAGCACCTGTATGATTGGCCGAATTTAGGTGTACAGGCTGACGTATAACTAACTGGCCTGCATTAGAAGACGAAAAAAAAAACAGATTTTAGGACAGGATTTTATTTATTTTTTTTAATAGAAATTTTCTAAATTTCTGATAAGTATATTAATATACATGTTTAAGCCAGAATGATTTGACATCTAAATAAGATTTCCCTACAATTTAAAATTTTTTATACATACTAAAAATCTTTTTATTTTGATTTTATGTGGAAGAAGGAAGCAGCACATAATGATTAACTGCCTCTAATCATCATAAGCGTTTTTCTTTATCCGTCTGTCACATGCAAGATAGAGGACAGCACATTTTATCTGTGGGGATGCTTTTTTTTTCCAGCAACAAAATATAAAACAAATTTGCAGACAGTAACATGGAAAACTATGAAACATTTGTGGGGTAATCAAAACCTTTGCAAAGACACTGTACACACAATAATTAGGACATGTTTAGAGCTTTGATTATTTACAAATATCTAACCAGTAATGATGATGCTTGAATCATCAACTTGCTTCCCAAGTGAAAAAAAAACAAAAAAAAAAACAACTAAAAACAAAACTTTAAAGCTTACTACCTTGCTTTACCCAACAAGGAACAGTATTTAAACTTAAACTTCAGCTTTAAACATGCAACAATTAAATTCGGCTAATAAAGCAGCTGCTAAAGTCCTGCTCGGGTCAGATTTTTCAAAAGTGTATCCGCCCGCACCAGTAGAGTTCAGAACCGAGACCCGTCACGTTACCCACAAATATTCCCATTTAAAACCCGGCCGGGACCGCACGGACCAGTAAATAATAAAGTGTACACACAGCCGTTTATAATAACACAAGCAGTGCATGCTGCAGAAGGTTTGCCTCATTACTTAAAAAAATAAACTGTTATTTGGATATTCTTAAATTTATTTAAGATGTAGAGTTCATAAATAAGAAAATATAAATAAGTTTCACTCATGCTGTAACTCTATGATACACACATTTTGTTCATATATACCCATGCCTGCCCCCTGAAATAATATGTTTTTTTTGTTTGCTTTTTTGCTTATTTCTATCCGTAGATGGACATTTTATACGGGAACACATTGGGTATCTAACCCGATGCAGGAGCACCAGGAAGTAAAAATTTGATCAAATTAAAAATGCCTGAACATACAGCACATTGGGCTCCTACTTTAAAAATCTTTTTCAGAACACACAAATAGTTCACATACTGTTTTTGTATCAGCGCAGCCAAAAGGTTTATAATGCAGTTACAGCTGAACATGTATTCTATTTAAATCTATCATTGCGATGGTGTAAACTTATATGTACATTATATGGTTTAAATAGAATTTTTATAAACACTATAAAAAAGACAGTTTAACACGGAACAATGTCTTTCTAAGCGGTATGCATGCTTGGTTCCCGTATACAAGGTCAATAAAATGAAGGAAGGAAACTCTGGGGTTAGATACTCACCATTCTTTTCATGAATCTGAACCAGGGATTTGTAGGACTGCTGTGCTCTGGCGAGATTGTACTGGTTCTGGATAAAGAGAAGAAAATAGAAGCAGAGCTGTAAGCAGAGGCGAAGCTAAGCACAGCTGTGAAATTACAGCACTATATAAGCACTGAAGAAATGTTTATCGGTGGAGAAAATTCTATTTACAGCAACTTAATGCGTTTTTTGTTGAGCTCTGTGACTTCCTGAGACCACCATTATTTAAATTTAAGATCTAAATCATTTATGAAAATAAAATTACCAAATTAATTTAAAGTAAAAAAAAAAATCAAAAAACATGTTTTCAGTTTTTGTTTCCTTGTTTTTCAAACGTTGAACTCTTCAATCCACGAGAAGCATCATGTGACACAAGCATTTTCACACCTACTGGTGAATGTCGTCCTTCAAATCATATAATTTATTTGGTTTATAGTCCTTTATAATAATCTCAGAGTGACCAAAGTCTACAAGTACACTCTAGAAATATTTCCAAACAGGAAGATAATGTGTCAGTCACTATATTGGTCACATAAGACATTGATGGTGTTGCAACTAAAATTATCACACACTAACCTTCCACTCAGCAGGTAGGAAGCTATAAGTCACATGTCTATTAAGTAACCAACTGGCTTGCTGAACAGATAACGTGACAAATTAACCGGCTAATTCCATCTTATTACACTGTTAGTGTTACCCTGTGAGATTACACTTGATCATTGAACCATAATGAATATTTGTCAACAACCATCATTAGCAGGATTAAATAACTCCTCCTTCACCATTTGAAAAATGAATTAATCTTATACATAATTTCTTTGTTTAAATAAAAAAACCTAAATGCCACCTACAGTACAGCAAGCCTCAAAAATCCATGTTTTTTTTTTTATCAAAGTCTCATCAATTAGGAGATTATCATATAATATTCAAATTATTTTTAAAACATACAAAAGGCAAGTTTAAAACATTTTTTTTCTTTAAAATTCTTTAAGAATCAGCCTAAAATGTATTTTAACGTTGGATTTGAAGACATAGCAAGCAGTCTGTCAACTGTGTTTTGACTTTTATCTTATTTAAAGTCTACTCTCTTTACTGGCTCAGTTTTTATAACTATGGCAGCCACAGCTGGTTCATAGTTCATTTGATTGCTCTTCGCTTCCTTCTCTAAAGTTGCTGCCCTAAGTTATGTTTTGTATGAAACAGTTCAGACTCACTTTATTGGCTCCAAACTGCACTCTGGCTTTTCCTTTGACTAAAGTGGCATTGATCTGCATGATGACAGACTCAATGGAATAGGCACTGCTCCAGCCCTAAAAAAGAAACAAGATTAATAACAGGTTAGAGAAGGTAATAGATGTTCAAGAACAAACAAAGCAATCAATGGATTATTACATCACATATTTCCATTATAGCTTTAATCAAATAAGCATAACTTCTAGTTTAAACCATACCTGCTTGGTGAGAAGTTCCATACATAGGGCGCCTCCTCCAAGAACGTAACTAAGGGAGAGAAATTTATAACTTAAGAAACTAATTAAGCTTTTCTTCTTGAAATAGAAAATGAGGGCAAAAGGCTGATGATGAAAAATGACAGTGGAAGAAAATACAAAGAGTCCATCAAACCACAGAACTTACCCTCCGGAAAGCACTGGGGAAACTACTCTGACGAAAGGTGGATCAAAGGGGAAATTATCCTGTGAAGGCAACCAGAAAAAACGATTTCATTAAAAGACTTCAAAGACTAACATTTCTAAATATTGACATTTATAATGAAATCAGTCTGGCTCACTTTATATGAGAAGTTTAATAAAATGTAGTCCATTCCTTCCTTCTCCTTTAGGACCTGTAAATCACTGTGTAAAGGGCTATCAGGATCCACCCTGTTGAGACAATAAGCCAGTTAGACCGTGCCTTTATCAAACCGGACAGAAGACACTATGAACAACATTAAGGTACTTACGTTCTCAGTTTGACGTGCCATTCATACAGACTGTCGTTAACAAGCTCAACTGAATAAATCCCTGCAAAAAGAAAATTACATTAAGAAGCACTCAACTTATAAATCATATTTAAACTTTCAATCAGAAACTATTACTATGTATCTAATTTTAGAGACATTAATGATCAAATATTTAATGAACCAAATGCTTTGAATCATCCGATCCATTGTTCCAAATGTACTTTTGACAACAGAAAAGCATTTGCATAAAAGGAAGTGAAGTTCTTTTTTTATTTTAGAAATATCACCTGAGTCTGCAGTTCCTAATGCCTATTGTTGTACAATGGACACAAGCCATTTTCAAATTCAAAAATATTTTATTAATAAAATGAAATGTTGCAGTAACTCAGGATTTTTGCTGTTGTAGGTGTTGATAGCTGTAGGCAGGAAGGGTCTTCTGTAGTGGTCTGTCTTGCAAGAGACCTGGAAAAGCCTCTTTTTGAATACACTGTTTAAAAAATCATTTGAAAAGAATGCTGTTTTCCATAGTCTTTATAAAGTTATGAAGAATGCTTCTCTGCTAAATAATCTCCAAAGGTTCCAGAAGAGTTTCAAGAACACAGCCAGCCTTCTTTATCTGCTTGTTGAGCTTTTTTAAGCAATCAGCTCTGATGCCGTTACCCCAAAAGATGGAGAAAGACACAAACTCTCCACAACAGACTTATAGAAGATATGCAGCATCTTGTTGTAAATGCAGAATGACCTAAGCTTCCTTAGGTAGTACAATCTGCTCTGTCCTTTACTGTTGTTAAGGTGAACACCAAGGTAATTATACTCCATTTCTTCTCTCATGATTTGAACAGGGTTCAACTTCCCGTTCCCGTTTCTTCTGAAATCTACAATCATATCCCTTGTTTTTCAGGGTCAGATGATTGTTACCACGCCATGCCACAAAGCAGTTCACCAACTCTCTTTACCCAGCCTCTTTCACATCTTTGATGCACCCAAAGACTGCACAGTCATCTGAGTATTTCTGCAGGTAACAGGACTCTGTCTGGTACTGGAAGTCAGACGTGTACAGAGTAAAAAGGAATGGACAGAGTACCGCCCCCTGTTTTGCTCCTGTACTGCTAACTACTTGATTACACATTTAACCCTTCAGTCTAACAGTCTGTTTGTCAGGTAGTCTTTGCTCCAGGGGATTGTCGATGCCTCCACCTGAGTCTTCTGAGGTTTCTCACAATGTAAGTCAGGGTGTGTTTTAAATGCAACAGAGAAAAGAGAACAGGACCTTCAGTATTGCCTGCTTTGTCTAAATGACAGTGGGTTTGTTAAAGCAGTTGTATGATGGCATCATTAACTCCCAACTCCATGATGACAAGCAAACTGCAGGGGGTTCTGATAGCTGCTTGTTTGTTTCCAAAGTTTTGTTGTCTCAGGCACAGCGGTAACTGTTAGAGTAACTGTTGGAACGTTGGAAGTGTAGCAGAGAGTGAACTGTGATTAAAATTATCAGTAATTGCCACAAATTGAATTGGCTTTTGTGTCTGTAGTTAAGCAACAATGGACCTGACAATGCAGTCTCTGGCAATGGCAGAAGGTGGAATGTAAACTGTTACTTATAGATCATTGGTGAACTGTTTGGGCAAATAATATGGCCGAAAAACAACTGCACACAATGCAATATCTGGGCTCTACTAAAAAATCTTCACAGTAACACGTCCCCGATGACATCATCTGTTGCTCATAAGCACTCCCAGCCCACCTCCTTTAAGTTCCCAGTCTACTTTAGATCTCTGTCAGCTTGTTTGGTCAGAAAGCCTGGCAGAGAGATGCTGGAGTATGAGATATAATCCTGCAGAACTGTGGTATTCCTGCTTGTTTTGAAATGTATAAAGTGAAGGAAACCCATAAAATCTTGCTAATAATTAGACCTTAACGTAATGAAACAATTTGCTTTTCAGATGTAATACATTTCTACCAACTTTGGAAGTTCAGATGAGGTTAACAGAACTCTGGAAGAAGAAAAGGAAAGTCAACGCAAAATTCCTCATCCAACTATGAGGTAGAGCATTCAATAGTCAGGAAGAGAAAAGAACAAGGTCTCTGTGATTTCTGCATATTTGAACCATTTCCTTCAATTAACACATGAGGAAAAGCTTCATGTGCTGTACATACCTGTCTTATAACTCTGAGACCGATAGATCTCTCTAAGTTCCTTCATGAGACGGTCAGAAGCCTGGACCGAACCAGAAACAGCTCCCTGCAAAATTCAACACAACAAAAACATTTGTACAAAACATTTGAGAGGAAGAATGTATTTGCTGCTCTGGCTGATGATATCTACTCTACATCATTGAACTACTTTAGAAATCGACAACAAATATATTTATTGAAACAAAATTGGGTTATGACACAAAAGTGATTGATTTACAAGTTAAAGGCTATTTGGACTCATTTCAAAAACATAATCTGAATGATTATAGAGATTATTAGAGATCTTTGATGAAACTAAGGTAAATTCAACACATGTTGCTACCTTAAATGCAAAAACTGGAAATGAGAACTCAAACTTCATAGAAGCAGGTGACATTACCATACATTGAGGATATACAAAATGTAATAGATACAATTAAAATTTTAGAAACTATTGATCTGTATTTAAACGTTATGTGAAACTAATGTAAAATATCTACATTTAGAGGCAAATAAACAAGGACTTGCATTTAAGTGGTCTTGTCTCTGGTTCTTTCGGATCTTCTCCAGGATCGCCAAGTTCTCTTTCTCAATCCCGTCGTCTTCAGACTTCTTCCCATCCACTGGCTCCTCCTCTTTCATTTCATAGTGGTCCAGGTCCTCGATATCCTGACAAGTCATTATCAACATTAAGATATTTGATAACTGCCCATTAGAGTAGAGTGTGGGTAACAGGTAAAAACAAACTAATGAAATCTACTTATCCTTCTGAGCAACAATGACTAAAACAGAAATACATTATATAAACATCAGCACAACTTCTAACATTTGAATAATATCAAAAGAATACTATTCACATAAAGACATAAGGCAGCAAGGAGAGCAGACAGCATGTTTAGACCAGAGATAATAACTTACTTCCCCCATCTCTTCCTCCTCTTCCTCTTCAGACGTGACCTCCTCTGTCCCATGCTGCACAGACAAACAAGAGTTTTAAGAAAACTGCTTTAGTCTGCAAGACAGCTAATGAGTCCATCTAATGAAACCCCCGATTAAAAAAAAAAGTATAGTTTCTGACCGACAACATTTACAAAACAAAAGTCTTGAAGAAAATATAACAAAGCATTTAGGCTTAAGAAAAAATCTTGACTTTAATCTGACTTTCAAATTTGTGTCGTGACTCAGTTTGAATTGATCATATGATGCCCTCTTACACATTTGCTACTGCCTTTTTGTCATAGTTAAATGTTTTAGATCAAGATTTTATATATTTAAATATCTGGAAATAAATTACTTTCAACATAAACATTGAATCCTTTCACTTGTATAGGCTAGACACTGATGACAAGCTTCCACACGGTATTTTGGTTTTTCATTCACTTCCTCTTTCTTTCCTGTTGAAATCGTGGATAATGGTTCTCACCATTTCTCTCTGGAAACCAAGGATTTAGAAATGACTTTGAACTGAAAAATCTGAATGACTGTCTCATATCAGTTAAATCTCTTCAGCTCTGGGGATTGCTTATAGTGATTCATGTTATCAGATATGGAAGGTTTAAGTGATTACCTGATCCTACAGGTCTGGCTATGGATATTGAAAGTGATCACAGCAAATTTATGAGTTAACCAGGGAGGCCATTATACTTCCAAATATCACTAGGTTTTGTATTTTGTATTGTTTTTCCCATTGATGAATTAAATTAGATTGTTTTTACTGTCTTTTGTATTTAGCCTGATCTTTATCTTCTATATCTATATCTGGTTGATGGTCTGAAAAAAGAAAACACCTCAATGTTAAAACCCTTCTTTAGAACACTGCCCATTCTGTTTTAAAATTTCACTTCTTGAAATGTATAATAAATTAAGTTACAGGAACTTTGTTCAAATAAACCACACATTTATTACATTAGTATATAATCATAGTTTCAGGAACATCACAAGCAGATTTACCACTTATTGTCGTGGCTTTCATCAGTCTAATTAATATATGTGGAAACCACAGGACTCATGATTTTTTTTGCAGCTTAAATATCCCTTTTTATCATTAGAATAATCATCAGTATCAACAGCATCTATAGCTTTTTCTTTCCTTTATGGCTCTAACCAACACACACACAGAATGCTTTCTGTATTACTTTAAATCTGTTTAACCAAATATTCTCACAATGAGTCATGTTTAGGTGAGGTTATCTGCACAAATACATAAAGCAGAATAACTTAATTTTTCTTCTTCAGCAATAACTTTTGTTAAAGGAGAGTAATTCAAATAGACTAAGCTTAAACCTACAGAAACAGAAATTAATGTAGGATATTATTAATTTCCTTGTTGAACACCCTAAAAAGTAATATAACAACTCTCTAATAAAATGAAAACCTTGCAAGTGCCTAATTTGCTTATATGCTAGGGGAGGTAAAACAGATTTACCATTTTTAATAGTAATATTAACCAAACTGAAGCCCTGTAAGAATTACTGGGATATTTTTAAAATTGGGAGTGAATTAAAAGCAGCCCCCTGGTTTCACCAGTATACGCTGGAGACACTCACCTTACGGTCTTGTCCCACTGGTCCTGCAGGCAGGGGCTGGTCTAGCATCTCTACATCAGGATGTTGAGGAAGGTTGTACAACCGACAAAGGTCGCAAATCAGTTTTTTTAACTGCTGCAAAAGCTAGAGGGGAAAAGAACAACGACAGAGATAAAGATTTAGATAAACCGATCAGGTTTGCAAATGCCACTAATAGCCCATCTAAAAAGCAGAAGTCACTACCTAAGATATAGTGTGAATATTTTATTCCAAAAATATTTTATTTTTTACAAATCCAAAGGCTTGTCACTGTAACCAGTAAGAGATTACATTGTTTTGTTTGTTTTTTTGCAAATATGTGAATTTTAGAAGCTATTTCATTTCAGTACATGAGAATATGAAGCAGGATGACCCTAGAGTTTGAAAATACATTCAAAAATAAGTTTACGAGGGTATAAACTAGGGGTGGCTAATGGTTACTTTGAATTAAATAGTTTAAAAACTATTTTAAAACACTTGATAAATTGTCAAAATAACATTTTTTCCTCTTCTTTGTTTTTGTTTTTTGACAGATTAAAAAGGATCACTGAGAGGTGTTAAGTCATATAAATCACACTTCTTTATGTAACTGGTTCTTCCTGAATAAACCTTTTTCAAATTTGTATAGTTTTCAGCAGCAGTATCTGTGGAGATATGATTATATTGGCTCAAAGACAACAAGTTATTTGAAAAAGACTGAAGAGGTAATGAGATAACCCCCAAAATCATCAATATTACCATAAAATAGCATGATAAAATTTTAAGCCCATATCGCCCTGCCCTGGTATAAACACAAAAGTTTCTATATCTAGTATTGTCAACAACTGAACCTGAAACCTTTAAAGGCTACCATCTACTTGCATGATCTCTTTAAGGCATAAACATATGTGAATACTATTTTATAATAACCTTATGCAATTGAAAGCTATGTTATTGGTAATTCCATAACTGGAATAAAATGTCAGTAGTGTCCGGAAACACCAACAGTTTCAGCTCCAAAGTTTCTTGTAATATTTGTTCTAATTATATGGATCTAAACTAAAATGTTGAACTGAAAAATAAGTGCATTCAGTAAAATCCCTCATTGACCAAGTTCAAGTGAAGTGATACTGACACTGTCTTTATACAACATTTTAAATGCTAGTATTCACTCTTAAAGGTTAGTCGGCTACCAGCTAGTATGTCTTTGCAAATTGGTGCACTCAAAAATTGCCCCACCAAGACATCTGTGTGCAGAAAAAAAGATCTTATCTACTTACAAAAAAAAAAAATACTTCCTTTCTATCTGGCATACATCTACTGCAGCTCAAAACTGGCAACAGAACAACAGAAAAGACGCTTCATGCCATTTTGGTTACTATAGAAAAAGAAATAAAATAAAGGCAAACAAATTGTACAACCCTCAGCATTAATGAACCAGAAATAACATCTATAAGCCCAGTAGGCCTAAAGTGGAGGCATTATGAGGACTGGTGCAGTAAGAAGGACTTGACATTTTAACCCAATTAAAAACAAGCAGTTTTTCCCTCTCACTTTTTAATCAGACGGTTCTCTTGAAGCAGTGAGGAGAATCAGGTTTCAAGTAGCTTTAGAACAACAGATGTATTTTTAAACCTCTCTTTTATAATCCTATTTTTACTTTTTGCTCGTCCACAGAGATCTTCTGCTTTGAACAAAAAGAGCTGATTTCGTTAGTTTTGTTTGTCAAATCAAAACTTAAGAACTTTAAAAAAAAAAGAAGAAATGCTTTTTCTTTCATCCAAAGGTGAATGTCTGTGAGTCACACAGGATCTACCTGCAGTTTCCTTTTTTTTCTAATCATTATTAGCACTTTAATGTGTGTTTAAGTGAAAAAAACAAAATTTTTGTATGTAAAAGATTCAATAGGGTTTATGGTATATGATGTTAGTGGAAATAATTTTTGGGGGAATTTAAAAGCCATTTCAAAATGACTGAGATATGTATATATATATATATATATATATATATATATATATATATATACACACACTCCCACTAAAACATGAGTAAGATTAATATTGGGTGTTAAGATCAGCCCGATGTGTTTAGAAATAACCAATGTCAAAGATAATACATTTTAAATCCCTAGTGTTTAGCTCAGCTTCTAAATTTCACATGAAATTATTAAAAAGAAAAATCTAATCTGTCAATTTCATTTTTCACACCATTTGTGTTGGATTTCTAATTTCTAATTCCAACACTAACATCTTCTAATACGTTTAATTTCATGGCCATGGACCAAGCAGCATAGCAATGAGGGATGGTTGACTGTAGTCACATACCATCTCCTTAAAGTGGACAATTAGCAGATTAAAGAATGTAACTATGAATCATTTCCTAACAACATGTGAGAAAAGTCTTAAATTTAACTCAGAGTTTTCTGATGTAAAGGACCAAAGACAGAGAGATATAATCAGCCCCTGTATGAACAGAATGTGTAAAGTATCTGAATCCTAATGAACCATAACAGACAGTTTGTCCGATTATCCTTAGAAAGAAAAGAAGCACTGTTAGAACTTGTTCAATGCAGCAGTTTAGATAAGTCAATGTGCATATACCTCCGGAATACCATGAAAACATTTTGAAAGGGGGTAGAAATAAGACATTTATTGTAAGTTACGTTTATTTTTAAAGGATATTTCACATTCTAACCCACTTAGAGCTGAATATTAAGGTGTATTCGGATTAAGACAATAAGCACTGACATCTTGAACTTTTCTCAATAGGCTGAGGTGTTCAGGTGAACCTTTCCTACCAGGGTGCTTCCTTTCCTCACATCTTCCAGCCTCTCCAGAACCTGGGCCAAGCTCGGATCGTCAGAGTCCACAAACCATATTGGTGGCGTAGATGGATAAGATTCCTGAAAACAAAAAACAACAGGAGATTAAAAAATAATAAATAAAAACGCCCAACATATTTAATATACATATACTGTATTATATGTATATAAACATGGTTTTGTCGCAGGATTACACCTTTAGAAAATGCACGAAGAATACTGATGAATATCAGAGACGACATTCAAAAGCAGTGCGCATCGTTAGCCTGATGCTAGTCCAAAAACATTTATATTCACATTTCAAACTGTTCTGAAAAGACAATTTAGTAAACGCCGAGAGATTATGGATTCATAGCTTTAACTTCTTGATTGATTTAAGAGGTTAATAATCTAACGTTTGTTCGTTAAGTAGCATCAGGGGAAGAGTATTACGAGCTAAACCCCCCAAAACACACGAGTTTTTGACTACTTACCGTAATGTTGCAGTGGATAATAAGCAACTTTTCTCCAGTTACATTAAACTGGCAGCTTAGCTCGTCGGGCTTCCAATCAATTATCCTGAATCGTTCGTGATTTGGATCAAAAATGGACTCCAAAAACTTCAGCTCGGCCTTCAGCCCCGACACCGACATCTTCCACTCATCTCCGGCTGGGCCGCTGGGGAGGGCGAGAAGTCAGGACTTAGCTTTTAGCTAGCTAGCGCCACATAAACTTCAGGGGAAACTGGTCTTAAATAAACTAGATAATGGCTGACTCAGCCGCAGGGTTCAGCGGAATATCCAACAGTTAAAACTCTTGTTCGGATAAATTCTACGGTATTCGAAAAAAAACAAAAACAATTTGCTAATGAATTAGCTAGCACTAGCTAGCCTCTGGTTTGCGTTTGGAAACAGCGCAGTCCTTAGCAAACTGCTAGCGTTGTTGTTGTCTTTCCGTCTATTGTTGTTCCCCGTCTATGTTTAACAACATTTAAATGTTCTAACGCTGTCCTCTGGTCGTCTTCTCCCAATCCTGTCCTGGCAGTTCTTTAAAGTGCAACGGAGCAGGAAACTACGAGACTATCTTTACGATCTGAGTCAATATCCTGCTGTAAGTGCAGTGTTTTTCATCCCTGTGTGACTGTGGCTGGCCTCTAGTGGGGTTTAAAGATGGCGTTTGGCAATCTCCCCGTTCCTGCACAATCCCACAATGCAGCGCGTTCCCACTTCATCAGTGTAAGAAAATTAAAGTTTATGACAGAACATTATGTGGTTTAACCTTTGTTTGAATGTTATATTAGGTGGATTATCCTTCTGCAGAGATTGTTTTACTGCTTATATTAATTACCACTCATTAATGTGTTTCAAGATATAATAATATATCAAACACAGTATCAATATTTCAGTACTTTCTTTATCAAGATATAAAAGTCAACATAGATTAATAGAATATAGATTTGTTTTTTCTATTTTGCAGGTTTGTTTTTTTTTGTTATGTTTTTTTGCATGTAGCAATGAAAACACAATATTTAATATTATATTATTGAACAGTTGGGCTGCTCAGTGCAACAGTGGGTAGCTGCTGCCTTGCAGCAAGAAGGTTGTGGGTTCGATTCCCAGCCTGGGGTCTTGTTGCATGGAGTTTTCATGTTCTCCCTGAGCATGCGTAGGTTCTCTCTGGGTACTCCGGCTTCCTCCCACAGTCCAAAAACATGACTGTTAGGTTTATTGTGTGTGAATGGTTGTTTGTCCTGTTTGCCTCTGTGTTGCCCTGCGATGGACTGCCGACCTGTCTAGGGTGTACCTTGCTCGTAGACAGCTGGAGACAGGAACCAGCACCCCTAGCGACCCCCTTGACCCCCAGAGTGTCAGAAAATGGATGGATGGATGTTGAACAGCTACAGTGATATTGGTAAATTCTAAATGTTACTAAACCTCAAACTTGAATTTAGGAAAGTAAAAGTGAGATTTTGGCTTTCAAAGGAGAATATCTATGTGTGTACATATCGGGCAGCTATTAGTGTGCAGAATTATTATGCAATTATTTAGTTTCACTTGTTTATTTTCATCCATTTAAGTGAGAATAATAAGCAAACAACAAAACATTTCTGACATAAAAAAAACATAATGACCAAAGTTGCTTCCCTTCTTTTGAATAACAGTTAACAGCCCTCCATCCATTCACTCTGTCAGGTTTTTGATCTGTTGATCGTTTTTGTGCAGCAGCAACTACAGCCTCCCAGTCTCTGATCAGTGATGTGTTCTGCTTTCCTTCATCATAAAGGGCCACCTGTTTTCAATTGGGCTTAGGTCAGGTGAAGAAGGAGACCACATCATCGTCTTTCAGCTGTAAGGCCTTTATTAGCTGTCGACACAGTGAAGTATTACGATGCAGGCGAAGGAGCATCATCTTGCTTGAAAATCATGATCTTCTTGAAAGATGTAGACTTTTTCCTATACCACTGCTTAAAGCAGGGGTCCTCAACGTTTTCCAGGCCAAGGTCCCCCAAGCTGATGGCAAGATGGAGCGGGGACCCCCTAAATATATAAATTGTATGAAATATATATAATCAAACTGGTCCTATAGTCACTCTATTGTAGATGTATTCAAGTAACGAAAGTAATTTCGCCCTGGAATTATCTAAGTTTTTCTGGTTCTGATTCCTGGTTGCTGGGACAGGTGTTGTAAATGAAACGATGCCCAGCTTGAAAGAGCTGAATGTGTGCATTGATGACTGAAAGACATCTTCTGCCTCCATTTATCTGTTTACTATAGTGTGTTGAATTCATGTTAATGTATACTTAAAGACATTTCAATTAGTGGAAAAAAAATGCAGTGGGGAATATAAAAAAAAAGTCTAATCAACCAAAACTTTCGCAACCCACATGCAGCACCTCCATGGAAAGTGTCTTCTAAAAACAGGCACTAGATTTGGGATTGAGCTGGAGCCCATCCTCAACCCAAAAAGGTCCAACCGGCTTATTTTAAGGATTCCAACCCTTACCAGTACTCTGTCTCCACCTTGCTGGTGCCTGATATGAAGTAGAGCTCTTTGCCTATTACTGATCCAGCCATGGAAACATCCATCTTGTCTATGAAGAATCATGCTAAACATATGATTGACACATGACCGCACCCCCAGGATCACCACCAATCAGATCGTGAAGTTTGCAGATGACACCATGGTGTTAGGCATCAGAGATGACAACAACCAGGACTGCACCAGTCCACTAGCTTTCTAGTGGACTGGTGCAGAGATAACAACCTGAACCTGAATGTGGAAAAAATGAAGGAGATCATCGTCAACTTCAGGAAGAACCAGCCTAACCACACTCCACTGCTCATCAACAGCTCTGCTGTGGAGGGGAATCAAGATTGCCAAATCAAAATATAAAGTGGAACATAAATGTATGCAGCAGAGCCATCATTCATCTTGGCAAGGCCTGATTCAAAGGGTGTTTGAATTCTCACACCAATGACCTTGTCCACATCATTGTCAAAAGCTCTGCATCTGTGGAAGTCAGCCCCTGATGCTTTAAGACCAACCACTCCACCCACCCGCTGAACATCGCATCAGTTGTTAACACAAGCGCTTAAGACAAGCATATCCCACTTCACTATTCAGATCATTGATAAAGTGAAGGCCCTAAAGAGAGCCAAGGCAAACAGTGAAAGATCCTTAACACCCTCCTTTTCTGTGGCTTTCATTTCTCATGCTACTCATGCCATGGTGAGGGCATGAGTAGCATGATCAAAATTCCTACTTCTCAAAACTCACCGGGTTGGTATGAAAACTATGCATACCAGCCATACCAGTTGTTGCCTTGCTGATCTATGTAGTTCCCACCTGGGTTTTCTGCCAGTTTCCTGTTTAATAACACATCTTTGGTCCTTAACTTTACAGAAAACCTTTTAAAATTTTTTGATAGACCAAGATGGATGGAGAGTTGGACAACAAAAGTAGTTTATTGTCATCTAAAGATTAATGGTGCATAATTTAACCTTTTTTTTCTTTTTCCTCAGTTTTATATTAATACGCTTAGTACAAAATGATATGCTAACATACTTTAAGGAGGTACTGATCTTAACCGTTGGTGAGGACCTTGCTACATGGAGGGGGCTCAAACCATGTAACCCACCGGCTACAGCACAAACCATTACCTCCTGAGCCACCATCACCTCAATAATAATAATAATATGACTTCAAATCTAATTAAAGCCAGGTTAAAGAGACATTAGAAAAGAAAAGAAAATCAGTAGATGCAGAAATTTATACTACTTGTGGAAATGCTGTCCTCAGGGAGGATCCGGAGAATTTACTAGATACAAGCTTTTCTGTGTTTCCTGACCGTATTATTAATCTCCGTAGAAGACCTCAGATAAGTCTTAACAGACTATTTCTTATCTCCTTTTTTCTTCTTCATTAAGGTATTTTAAAGACTTTATAGATTAGCAACAAGGCAGTGTGCTATTTTTTTCTTGGATGGCTGAGATTATAAATGTCTAGAGCGCGTTCACGAGTCTACGGAAACCGCGGCAGACCAAACCAGACGAAAGTGCGCATTCAGCTCGGCAAAGAACTCATGCTCTTCCTCAACACTGAAGTCCTCAGACATTTTTCTTTCGTTGTTTCTTTCTTTGCACAGGTAAACAGCACATTTCTTCTTCTATGCTTGCATTATCGGCAGAGCAGACGCTGAATGTGCACTTTCATCTGGTTTGGTCTGCCGCGGTTTCCGTAGACTCGTGAACACGCTTTTAGGAAATCCTATACACTACTGTTTATGCTCTAAAAACATTCTAAATGACTTCGTTTCGAGTAAATTATGGACGCTACCCACTCAGGACACTTGGGATACATTGGACGAGCAGTATGGAGGAATATTGACACGTTTTTTGTGGACTTTTATGGACCTTTCTGCCTCGGGCGCCATAGACCTCCATTATTTGAATGTCAGCAGACAGCAAGAAGCCTCCCAGATCTCCGGATGCATTTGAGATATCAAAAAAGTACTCCAGAGTGTTGTTCAGCATGGGGGTGAGTAGAAAATGAAGGCTAATCATGTTTTGGGTGTACTATTCCTTTAAGGATTACTTCCTTGAACAGGTCATAGCCTGTATTTCTACCATAGAATATCCTGTGTATTTGGCAGTAATATTTGATGCCCAGTAGGGTGCAGTGTTGCAGTGTGTACTGAAAAGAGTTTAGCCAGACTTACAACCTAAGGACATTTACTCAGTTGTAATTGTAGGGCTTGCCTAAACAAAAAGATTAAATGTTGGTAGGTTTTAGATATATAAAAAGATGGGATATATATTTCTGCATTATCTATATATGCTGAGAAATGCTTTTTCCTTTCTATGACAAAAAAAACAAACTGGAAAGGTTATGCTCTTTCATAATGAAAGCCAACTGGCCCTAATCCAAGGAAGATGGCGTTAGGTCTACAGGAAGGAGACTGGATGTAATTAGACAAAATTGAATGGATTGCAGGCAGCACATAGGGCCGTAGAAGGCAAACTTTTAAGCCTGTTTTATCACTTCGGACTACTCCCTGCCAGAGGCATCAAATTCATTTTTATATTGGGCCACTTCAGCATCATCAAGTTTTTAAAGGGCTGGTTGAAGCCATGAAATGAAGAAAATGTAATTTAATAATTTCCTTTACAAACAGCACACTGCTTCAGTATTTACCTCACTCCTATTTGTTAAGCAGTTTTAGCCACTTTGAGTCCTTTAAAAGAACGTATGCCTCTATTTTATGACAGCATATATTTTCTTTAGCTAATGAGGGCCAGATATAAAACCATAAGTCCAATAGTTCTTCTATATGACTACCCAGAGTTTAGTTTTCACTCAGCTGAATGATATGATTTATTTTTTAATTGTGTGTATATATATATATATATATATATATATATATATATATATATATATATATATATATATATATATATATATATATATATATATATATATATATATATATATATATATATATATACACTATATTGCCAAAAGTATTTGCTCACCCATCCAAATTATTGGAATCAGGTGTTCCAATCACTTCCATGGCCACAGGTGTATAAATTCAAGCACCTAGGCATGCAGACTGTTTTTACAAACATTTGTGAAAGAATGGGTCGCTCTCAGGAGCTCAGTGAATTCCAGCGTGGAACTGTGA